TGGTAGTGTGTGTAAAAATGTGTGAAATGTGATGCGTGCGCGAACCGACAGGCCAGAGAATGCTCGCTTGTGTTTTTTGTTTTTTGGTGATGCACAGGAATGATGTTCAAAAGCTTGTAATACACAGTCGCCTTGTTGCTCATCGCAGCCGCACCCGCACACCGTACGCACCAGCTCCGCAGCGTAATGTGCGACAGTGCGACCGATGTTGTCTTGCAGCATGCTGCTCTCCATATCCAGCAGCAGCCGCAGGCACTGCATGCTCCCCTGGCACGTGGCCCAGTGCACAGCCTGCCGTGTGTGTGTGTGTGTGTGTGTGTGTGTGTGTGTGTGTGTGTGTGTGTGTGTGTGTGTGTGTGTGTGTGTGGTGTCCTTTTGTGTGTGTGTGTGTGTGTGTGTGTGGAAACACCGTGCTATGAAACGATACATGTGCACAAGCATGCATCTGACACATTTGTTCACACGCCATCACCACCGCTGGAGCCACGTGCATCAGGCAATTGCATGTCGTACGCGTTTTCCGTCGATGTCTGCCACGTTGATGTCAGCGCCATTGCGTAACAACTTTCGAAGATGCAGCGGTCTGAACACACACACACGCACACACGCACACACACATGTGCATGTATGTGAGGGCCATGATGATGATGTTGAACGTGCGGTACAGCGTGTGGTGGCAGAGGTCACGTGTGTGCATGTGCATGTGGGTGTTTGTCTGACCTGTCGTAGTAAGCGGCCCACAACAATGCAGACATGCCAGCGTTGTCGATGTGATTGATCATGTTGTGCTCAACCTGAGAGGCAGCAAACACACAACGCAGGCATTCGTGATCAACATGCGTGGTGCATATACGTCCTCCATCGCTGTCGCTTTGAAGATCAGGGAAGCGATTGATGCTCCCGCCAATGACTCGACGACAACAGACCATCAACCACGCAGCAACTGTATCCGTCACAAATACACTCACTCACATGCCCACAGAGAGAGGGCAAGAGAGAGAGAATGAGAGGCAGCCCCCCCCCCCAACACACACACACACGCACACCCTCTCATCCATGTTCGCCACCCATGCTCCACCACTGACCTTCTTGATCAGGGCACTGAGACATTTGACGTTTGGATTGTGCGCTGACCAGGCAGTGGCAGCCGTCCTTCCTCGTCCGGAATTCGGTGATCGGATCCGCTCTCCAGCAGCAGCATCACCATTGCCCGCGTGCCGCAGTACGCAGCGCGGTGCAGTGCTGTTGCTCCGTCTGCATGTGTGTGTGTGTGTGTGTGTGTGTGTGTGTGTGTGTGTGTGTGTGTGTGTGTGTGTGTGTGTGTGAGTTGGTGGGGCTTCGACAATGCCAAGATGCGCACATGCACACGAAACCATCATTCACCATCACCATCATCATCATCATCATCATCATCATCCCATGACCTTGGGCGCGGTGGTCGAGGTCAGCACCCTGGCTGATGAGCAGCCGGGTGGTGTCGATGTGATTGCAGTGTACAGAATACATCACCGCTGTCCGCCCGTGCCCATCTTCCTCGTTCACGTCAACACCCTGCACACGTCGGGCAGGTATGTACGCATCGTGGGCAGGCAGGTAAAAGTGAGCGTGCATGGAAAGTGGTCGGTTGGTTGCTTGGTTGGCTGGATTCAGGAGGATGGTGTGGTCCTGCATTGACACAGATGTCCACCACCACCACCGCAACCATCATCACCACCACCATCACCATCATCACCACCACCATCACCACCTGAGCAAGGAGCTCTGCGACGCGTTCCGTCTGGCCGTGGGCGGCGGCAATCTGCAGCGGGGTGCTGTCGTCCGTGATGATGTATTGCGGATGCGCGTACGCGTGCGCAGCATCTGTGCACACACACACACACACACGCACATGAGGATGGAAGGTGAAAGGGTGGGATGCTGGTTAAGATGGCATGCGGGTTGGTACAAGTTCCCACCCATTGCACATATGAATACATGAATACGCACACACACACATATGAACAGACACACACACACATGAACAGACACGCACACACGCACACATAAACAGACACAAACACGCACACATAAACAGACACACACACGCACTCACACACATGAACAGACACGCACGACGACCTTGTGCATAGTCGACCTCGACGTGTGCTGTCATGTCCTCTGTCTCTGTCTCGTCCCCTTCGTCCTCGTCCTCCTCCCAGATGCTGGGCATTGGCGCTCCAACAGTGACACCAGCAACACCCCTCCGCACCTCATCCTCATCATCGTCGTCATCATCATCATCGTCGCGGCTGTCACTTTGCATCAGCCTGTACTCTCCACGCGTCTTTGATGCCGTCACCAGCAGCCGCTGCCGCTCAACACGCGTGGGCACGTGTTGGTCTTGCTGTTGGTCTTGCTGTTGGTCTTGGTGCTGTTGGTCATCGTCATCGCTGCCGCCCCACGCCTGGCGAAGATCATCTGCTGGCAACACGACGAAGATGGGCAGTGAGCAGTGGTGCGTGCGGGGCAGAGGGGAAAGCGGGTGGGAGAAGCAGAAGGGTCAGGAAAAGAAACCCCCCGAGTCGCACACACGCAGGGACTTGCACGTTAACACGCACACACACACACACACACACACACACACACATCACACACACACACACACACACACACACACACACACACACACACACACACACACACACACACGCACGCACGCACATGCTGGTCGGGGAACGGCGCGTGTGCGTGGCATGCCAGTTGGGCGGAACGGCGTTGGCGCGGGGATCACATCGGGCTGTTGCTGTTGTGGCATGACATGTACGCACGGTGGAGTGGTGTGAGACAGCACAAGCATGAGCACGCGGTCATCCTCCACTCATTCGTGTGTCGCAAGAGCATATAATGCAACAGGAGACAGGCAGTCGACCAGACCCCTGGACGCAGCACAGTGTCTTGTGCCCCCTGTATCATTGCGGTACTGCCCAATACAAGCACAGCGAGTGCACTGCAAGCATACAAGAGCGCGCAACGCACTTCCTCTGCCAGGGCCTGGACGAGAATACGGCGCGGGGACGCAACAGATACGGACGACGGCGAAGTCACGATGGACTCGTCCGGCGCGTTCCACGCCACGACTGGCGGCGGGCGCCCGCGCCCCTCCTCTTCGGCATCGGGGTGGGCCGGCGTTGGTGTGTCGGGTGCACCGGGCACGGGCCCGGACGCGTGTGACTCTGCCAGTCCACCATCACCTTTGCTGCTCTGTGCAAGCAGCGCTGTATCGGACATGTAGCGGGCCGGCGCCATGTGCCGTGGAAGTGCTGGTCTGCTGTCGCGGGAAGTGGACCGCACGGATGTGCTCAGGCTCTCGCTGTCGCTGCCGTCGTCTTCGCCATCTGCAAACGGCCGCACAACAAAGGGATCTGGCGTGTGGGGCGACTGCCGAGGGCGCGACTGCTGTACGCGCCGCTCCTGCTTCTCCACCTGCATCACACATCATCGAGGTGGAGGAGGAAGGACGCAGGGTTGGGAGCGTGGCCACGCCTTGATGATGAGGAACGACTTCGACGCAGAAGCAAGGGGGAATGGGTGGAAGCGAGGGGGGAAGCGAGGCAACGATCCTTTCCACACACACACACACACACACACACACACACACACACACACACACACACACACACACACACACACACACACACACACACACACACACACACACGCACGCAGACACACACGCACTCCCGCACATTCTTGTCCGGAAAGGCGCGTGTGCGTGGAA